TGCTAAGAAAATGTCAGTGGAGACTGAGCATCAGCTCTGGCCGGGGCAGCCCTTGCACCCCACAGAGCACCTTGGGGTGTGCTGGGGGGGCTGCAGCTTGCGGGGAGCAGGGGGACCAGGACACCCAGCTCCCAATTCATCACGGGGGTTCCACTGACTGGGGTCTGTGCCTGATGGCAGCCCAGCATCGCTCTGCCTACAATACAGGGCGAGGGCAGAGATCTCAGGCCTGCTGCATTAAGCTCTGACAGCTCACAGAGACATTTTCTCCCCCTGAGAGCTTTTCCAGCTGCTGAGAGCCTGGCTGCGGGGTCGCTAACTGCTGTCCCTGCCGTCCCAAGGTGGTGGGAAGGTGGTGGGTGCTGTGCAGCCCCCCCCGAGGGTCCCACCTCCCCGCAGGCACACGGCACAGCTCAGCCATGGAGCATCTCTCTCGAGGCTCACTCCTATTAAAATTCACATCATGCTGTTGGCACACGGCGGGCTGGATTCCCGAGCCAAGGTTTCACACCACGTGGAAGTTTCGCAGCCCGAAGCGACGAGATGGGAGAATGTCACTGCTCCTCCCCAGCAGCTCATCTGCTGGCCGTGGCACGGAAGGGTGATGGCTACAAAGCTGCTCAGGCAGCGAGAGGAGCCTGGTCCCCTCCCCGTGTAACGTCACTGTGCAGAGCAGGGGCCAGGATCACAGCCAGGGGTGCTGAGGTGTTTGTGAGAGCCAGGTCACTGCCCCAGGCAGCCAAGGACACCCGATTTCTGTGCGTGCAGCTGCAGAGAGGGTGCACAGAGTGCTGCAAGTCGCTGTTTTGGGGGGTTTCTGCAGATCCCTCAGGCTGCAGCAGGTCCCATTGCTATGAGCAGGTTTGCACAGGGGGGTGCAGGCAGAGCACGTGTCACCTCCCCGAGCTGGGGACAAGCACAGGCAGGCAGGAGGCTGCCTCTTGAGGAGGGAGATTTTCCATGCACACATGAATACTCACCCCAGCAGGAGCAGCAAGGGCAAGTGCCTTTGAAGGGAGGAGGTCTCTGGTTGGATGTCAGAGCGTTTGCATTGCAGATTTCTGGGGTGCATTTGCATCCAAGTCCTCAGCACAAGGAGGATGTGAATCTGTTGGAATGGGTCCAGAGGAGGCCACAGAAATGATCTGGAACCCCTCTGCTGGGAGGCCAGGCTGAGACAGTTGTGGATTGTTCA